TTCTGCAGCTTCACTCCATGCCCTGAGTGAGGCAGCACAAAGGCAGCACACGGTGCCTTGGGGGCTCTGCCTGGCTCAGCCCAGCTTGGCTCTTACACACTCAGCCCCCTGCTGCAAGCCCCAACCCTGCATCCCCCATCCTTCTCCCCCAGCACGAGCCTGCTGCCGTTCACATAACCCAATATATAAACTTGCTTTACCTTTCAGAATTATTTTCCTTCATATTGTCCAGTGCTGTCCCAGCCTCGGGGTCCTGCCACAGCTTCCCTCCCCACAGAAGGTGTGACCGTGTGCTGGCTGCAGGCAGCCCTGAGACACCGGTGGCCCCGAGGCTCCCGGTGTGGGGAGGCACCGGGCACCGGCTCTTGGCTGCTGGTGGTTCCCAGCCCCGTGTGGGTCCCAGCCCGCAGCTCACCTGCCCTCAGGGAGTCCCTGCGGGCCCACAGGCAGTTTTCACGTGGGTTTTCTCTTTGCTGCAGGGCCGGGACAGCAGCCTGGGTGATCCTCGCCCAGCCCTGGCTGTGCCCAGGCAGCAGCTCAGCAATAAAGTCTCTTTTGTAAACCACCAGTGTGCGGCCTGTCCGTGGCACCGGGCGCTGGGGAGGGGCTGCCACACAGGGACCCATCCCCACAGGGATCCATCCCCACAGCCCCACAGGGACCCATCCCCACAGGGACTCATCCCCACAGGGATCCATCCCCACAGGGATCCATCCCCACAGCCCCAGAGGGACCCATCCCCACAGCGATCCATCCCCACAGGGATCCATCCCACAGCCCCACAGGGACCCATCCCCACAGGGATCCATCCCCACAGGGATCCATCCCCACAGCCCCACAGGGACCCATCCCCACAGGGATCCATCCCCACAGGGACTCATCCCCACAGGGACTCATCCCCACAGGGACCCATCCCCACAGCCCCACAAGGATCCATCCCACAGCCCCACAGGGATCCATCCCCACAGGGACCCATCCCCACGCCCCACAGGGATCCATCCCCACAGCCCCACAGGGACCCAGCCCCGTCCGCCTCACGGGGCCGATCCCCCTTTCCCCACGCGGGGGCGCTGCTCCCACCGCGGCGCGGCCCCTTTAAGAGGCTGCGGCGGCGGCGGCGGCGACCGCGTGACGTCACGGCGCTGCCCGGAACTCAGCTGGGTTTCCCGCACGGCTGTTCCCGGCAGTCTCTCCCCCCCCCCGGTCCCCTGCACCGCCTCTGCCTAGCGAAGCCCCGCGGCGGGAGGCGGTGCCATCCGGGAATAGCCGGGGGGGCAGCCCCCTCGCAGCGCGCCGTGACGCACCACGCAACGACCGCGCTGATTGGCTGTCGGAAGCCTAGCGGGGCGGGGCTGCAGGAGCAGCGAGTCGCTATTGGCTGTGCTGCAGTGACGTCACGGAGGGGCGGGGCCGGGCCGCAGGAGCTCCGGTCCCTCGGCGCAGCCGGACGCGATCGCCGCCGTGCCCGGGAGCCGCCGCCCCGCCCGCCGGGACCGCCGGTGAGCGCGGGAGCCGCCGGGAGCCGCCGTCCCCCGGGCCGGCGTGGGGCGGGAGCGGGGCCGGCATCGCGGGGTAACGCGGGGGCCTGTCCCGGCTCTCCGGCACTAGAGGGCCGAGCCGCGGTGCGGAGCGGAGCGAGGTCGGTCTGTGCGGATCTTCCGGGCTGGCACCGCACCCGGCCCGGCACGGGGACGGAGCCCGAACCGGCTTCCCGGAGAGCGAGGAGCGCCGGGACCGGCGTGGCCGGAGGAGGGGCGGCCCGCCCGGGCTGGGCCGAGGCCGGCACGGCCTCGGGGCTCCCGTGCGGAACGAGGCCGGGCCGGTGCGGCTCGTCCCGGCGCTGGCAGCGCCGTGGTGACGGCAGGACTCGGAACCAGGGCTGGGAAGCGAAAGGGTGCCCGGGCACAGCGGGGCTGGAGGGATCTGCGCGCTCAGGGCTGTCACATGCCTCCTGGACTGAGCCAGCAGCCCGGGGCCTCCTGCCCGGCCCGGTGACCGCGGTGCCCCGGTGGCAGTCCCGGTGGGTGCCGGGTGTGTCGAGCACAGCAGTCGAGTTGTGCAGAACGAGAGCTCTGCGGGGGCTGACAGCGATGCCCGCCGCTCCTGCAGCCCGGCGCTGTGTGCGGTGGCTCCTGTCCCCCGGGCCAGCGGACACCGGCAGGGTGGGCTGGCCGGGGTGCGCCCCTCTGCACCGCAGGGAGCGGCCCTGCCCGGTGAGCACACCGGGGAGCGCACCCCGCTTCCACCGTGACGGTGTCGCTGTCACTCCCCCGGTCTTCTCCGTCTGTTGGAGCTGCTGGAGCAGCGCTGGCGGAGCACAGCAGGGCTGTGGGTGGGTGTCCCCATGGTGACAGTGTCACTGGCAGCTGCTGCAGTGGGAGTTTGGCTGGGATGGACCTTGGAGAGCTGTGATGAGGAGCAGCAGGCCGTGGCAGGTGGGTTGGTCGGAACTCTGTGAGGTTGCCCAAAACTGTCTCCCTCCTCCTGTTGTAAATCTCTGCATCGCTGTTTTCCACCTCCAAGGCTGGCTTTGAAATCGCTCCAGAAAAGCAGAGCCAAATTCTTCTAGTAGCCTTTCCAAACTGTCTCTCGTGCTGCCAGAGCCACTGGCTGCCGTGTGGAGCAGTTTTCCATTGGGCTGTTGATGGTTGTGTGGAAGAGGGGACAGCGGGGTGCTGGGTGCCTGGTGCAGGGACTCTCTGAATTGTTCTGTCATGACCCTCTGATGGCACCGTGATGATGTGGCCTGTGCAATGCTGTCAGTGACTGAGCTTCATCCTCCTGTCACTGTAGAGGACGTGGAGTCACAGGCTCCTTCTAAGGCCCTTTCCAGTGACTCCCCCATACACGTTGCCCTAGGGCTCGTTGCTTGTTGTAGGGACACACGTGCAGGGTGTTCCCAGGCAGGCAGAAAGCAGTTGCAGGGTTGGTTCCAGGGCAGCCCCGTTTTGAGTGGGGTGGTTGGAGTGTGCAGAGCTGTCCCAGAGGCTGCAGGTGACACTGTGCAGCTCAGCCTGACTCTTGTGCTCTGCCCTTGCAGGAAGATAAAGAAAGATGAACTTTAGCTCTTGAGCTACTTTTAGCAGCTCTGCTCTGAGCTCTGGACAGCATGTTTACCCTTGAGCTTGCATCATGCCGTGTTGGTCCCGGCCATGTCGGCTGCTCTCTGGCTCCTTTCCAGAGATGGAGGAGAGGCAGACCACAGAGATGGGCAAGCCCAGCGAAATCAGAAAAGTTCAGTCCTTGGATCTTTAACTGAGGCAAGGGTGGCTTCCCGTTGGTGGGGCTGGACAGGCAGAGGCTCCTGTGTGGGGTTCAGGGCTGGCAGGATCAGAGATTCCCTGACAGTGGTGGCTGCTGCTGTGAGGAATGTCTTGGGGACCTTTTCCTCCAGGAATGTCAGAGTGCCTTGGATGTATGCCAGGACAAGCTGGAGTTTAGTGCTGCAAGCTGGCTTCTCCTGCAGCTGTTTGTGGCAGTGGGAAGTGGCTGAGTCCTGTCCAAGTGCTGCTGCCTCGTGGCAGCTTGGGAGCTTTGCTCTTGGCCCTTTGGTGCTCTCAGACTGGGGCTCCAGCACCGCTCTGAAATGCTGAGATTGTGGCTTTCAGGTGGAACATTGCTTGGATCGTGGGTCCGGATGTGGCATCTGGTTCAGTTTCTGCAGCTTGATGGGCAGGTTTGCCTGTGAGCCCCTTGGCACCGGGCACTGCAGGGGCTGCCCAGGTAACTGCTCCCTGTGCCATGCTGCTGCAGCACTGTCCTCCTCAGAGCTGGAAGCACAGCTCTGGCAGGAGCTGGGCTGGGGCAGCAGCTGCTGCTGTTTCCGGAGGGGCTGGTGCAATAGGAAGTGGTGGCTGAGCTCACCGTCCAGGCAGGGCAATCCCTGTGGGGCTGGTGGGCTTTCACTCTGGCCTGGCTTGTGCTTTTGTTGGGTTCCCCCCAGGAGCAGCACTACTCATGCCTCCAGGACTGAGTGGAACGGCTGGAGCCCTGCAGCTGCTGGGGCAGAGGGAGCATTCCCTGAGCTGCAGCAGCTGAGAACTGGCCACAAAGGGCTGAACCCCCTGTGGAATGGGGCTCTGCTGTGCTGCCCCACACACAACCCTGGCCCACAGCTCACAGCCCAGCCCATGGACTGCAGCATTGTAGAGGCTCTGTCACATCAGCCAGGTCTGACTCCAGGGCTGTAGGAATCTGTTGCCTGCAGGACCTTGCATGGCCACTGGCTCTCTCCTTTCGTGTTCACTTGTTGCTCCGTTGAAAGCAGGTTTGGTTCATGTGGACTTCTTTGAGGATTGCACCAGTGGGTTGTAGTTCAAGGTTAATGTCCTGTGGAGGCTGCTCCTGCCTTTGGGGCTGTGAAGTACCAAAAACCTCTCTAACTCCCATATCTGTGCCAATGTCTGTCCCCTCCTGGTGTCTCAGCCCACAGAGGATGTTTCCACTTTCTTTTTTCACATCCAGACAAATGGGGAAGCAGTCCCTTGGGGGAGGAGGCCATGTAGTGATGCTGCATCACTCAGCGCAGGGACCTTTGGGAAAAGCCAGCCACTTTCTGCAGGGAAGTGACTGCTGCTGTCATGTGGAGCTGTGCCTTCATTTGCCAGCACAGCTGGAGTCCCCTCGTTAGTGTCAGTTTGATTTCCATTGATTCAAGTCATGAACTTGAAAATTGCTCCTTCCTTGTTTCTGTTGCTTCCTGGCAGTCTCCGCCTTCCTCACTTACTGTAAGCTCCACAGCCACTTCCCTGCCTCCCAGCAGGGCTGACTAGGGGTGCCTTTAAGACCAAATTAAAGCTTCATTCCTACCTGTTGCCAGTGACCAGCCTGCCTGTGCCAGCTGTCCTGGAGCTCTGTGCCCTGGGCTCGTTCCCTGGCTGTCTCTGGTTCTGGCCAGAGAACCCTTTTCAGGGATTGCAGTAGTCACAGCTGGGTCCTGGCAGGAGGGAGCCAGGAGCCAGCTCTGAGCCACCTGTGTTGCCATCCCTCAGGTCTCTGGAGCTGGCCAGGATGGCGCAGTGGAACCAGCTACAGCAGCTCGACACACGGTACCTGGAGCAGCTCCACCAGCTCTACAGCGACAGCTTCCCCATGGAGCTCCGGCAGTTCCTGGCCCCGTGGATTGAAAGCCAGGACTGGTAAGGCCTTTTGAAATGCCAGTGAGGGGACTTTGCTCATAACACCCATCTGCAGGGCCTCAAGTGGGCTGGAGGAGCTCTGTCGCTTTCCCTGGGCCCCTGGTGATGGGACTGCCCTCTCTCTCTGGTGCTCATGTGGCATCAAGGGAAGCAGGACTGTGCATGGAGTGGGACTCTGTGCACTGTGTTAGACCCTGGGCCAGGAGCAGAGGTGGCTCTGAGGCAGGGGGATGTCCCCATCCAGGGCTGGCTAACACTGACCTCTGTTGTAAAAGGGGCTGACACAGTGATTGCTGGATCCTGTCCTTGAGCATGTGGGACGTGCTCACAGACATCAGGTGCTGGTGTGCACTGTCTGCCTGGTCTACTTGACCAGATGGTGATTAGTCACAAGCCGGATTCAATCTTAGAGATCTTTTCCTTCCTAAATGATTCAGTGATTCTGTAAGTTGCACAGGGGATGGTGGGTGTGAGCAGAGCCCCCCTGTTTTGCCCCTTGCCAGGCACTCAGGGCTCTCCCTCCCCTGCACAGGGCATACGCTGCCAGCAAGGAGTCTCACGCCACGCTGGTGTTCCACAACCTGCTGGGGGAGATCGACCAGCAGTACAGCCGCTTCCTGCAGGAGTCCAACGTCCTCTACCAGCACAACCTGCGCCGCATCAAGCAGTTCCTGCAGGTGAGCTGGGAAGTGCCACCATGCTGGGGGAGCTGGTGAGGGTCCAAGCGATTCCTTGGCACAGCTCAGCATCCACAGCCCTCAAGGATGTGGAGATCCCAGGGGTTGCCTTGTGCCTGCTGACCGTGGGGTGTTTGACCCTTTACAGAGCAGATACTTGGAGAAGCCAATGGAAATAGCTCGCATCGTGGCTCGCTGCCTCTGGGAAGAGTCCCGGCTCCTCCAGACCGCTGCCACCGCAGCCCAGGTCAGTGGCCACGGATCCCAGGGCCTCCATCCTGATTTCTGATAGCCAGGATGCAGCCTGGGTGTTCTGGCTGGGTGTGGTGAGCTGGGTGTCTCCATCTCTCATCTCCTTGACCCTGTGCCGCACTGGAGCTGATGCGGAAGTGAGCAGACAGCTGCCATTGTGTGTTAGGGATGGGTTGAGGACTCTGCAGAGCCTCCTCAGGCTGGAAGGGAGCTTCCCCAGGTTACAGCCCTGTCCTTATGCCCTTCTTATCCGCTCTGCAGCAAGGGGGACAGGCAACACATCCAACAGCAGCTGTGGTGACAGAGAAGCAGCAGATGCTGGAGCAGCACCTGCAGGATGTCAGGAAGAGGGTGCAGGTATGTGTCTGCCTGGGCACCTTCGGCTCTTCCCACCAAGGTTTTTGAGTGCTGTGAATGAAATCACATTTCTTGCCTTGAAGGATCTGGAGCAGAAGATGAAAGTGGTAGAGAATCTCCAAGATGACTTTGATTTTAACTACAAGACTTTGAAAAGCCAAGGAGGTAATGACAGTTCATTAGCATCTGCAAACCACAGTGTGTTCCTGCAAGGAAACTTGCTGGAGAGGTGTTCCAGCCTTCATTCCCAGAGGGAATGTGCTCATTCTCAGGGAATTTGCATGGCAATTGCATAAACCTGGTCTTCTGTTTCTGCCACGGATGCTGCCCTTGAGGGAGCTGAACTGAGCTTTGCTGTAAGCACAGCAGTGTGATGGGGAAGGATTGGCTTCTGTGGGTGCAGGAGAGCCACAGAAGTGCTTGGAGGCTGTGCCAGATTCCTGTTTGGCTCTAGGGTGCCTGCATTTAGCTGTGAAAGTGTTGTGTTGTTGGGGCACTTGAGAAGGTGGGAAGAGTCCCTGTGTGTGGCTGAAGCTTCTCACCTGTGCACAGACATGCAGGACCTGAACGGGAACAACCAGTCAGTGACCCGGCAGAAGATGCAGCAGCTGGAGCAAATGCTGACAGCTCTGGACCAGATGCGCAGGGTAAGTGGGGCAGCTGCCCCTCCACATTCCCCCAGGTGCAGATCCCTCTTCTTCAGGGTCGGAGTTTGGTAGTTCCTGCGTGGCCAGAACCAGGAGCAGTGCAGCAAGCACAGCCCTGAGTGACTTCTTCCTTGTTTCTGAATGTGAAACTTGTGGGTCCGTGGGGGGAAGTCACAGGGTGCTGAAGGTTCTGCTTTCTCCCTTGGCAGGGCATAGTGAGCGAGCTGGCTGGGCTGCTGTCAGCCATGGAGTATGTGCAGAAGATGCTGGCAGATGAGGAACTGGCAGACTGGAAGAGGCGGCAGCAGATTGCCTGCATTGGTGGCCCACCCAATATCTGCCTGGACCGGCTTGAGAACTGGTGAGAGCTGCCTGGGGCTGTGTCAGTGGCCAGAGCAGTGTCAGTCATACACCTGCTGTGGAAATGAGCTCTTGGTGTCTGGAAATGTCCTTGCAAAATGGTTTATGATTGCTTACACATATGAATGTAGCCTGCTGCTTAGACTGAGCCATGATGGCAGGCATGGTGCTGAAAAGGTGTCCCACTGTCCCCAGTTCCATGCCTGGGGGATTCTGAGGCTGCTGGAAAGTTTTAGGCCCTGAAGTCACCTGGGCACATCAGGTTTTGTTTGTAATACATGCTCTAGAAAAATGCTCTGGGCTTGGAGCCACAGACACACTCAGTTCTTGACTGGTTTGGCATGGAGAGTGTGTTCTTGCATGGGAAGAGAAGGGCTCTGCAGGCTGGACAGTGCAGGCTTGGCAGCCAGAGCTAATGCTGGTTCTCCCTGCTCCCCTAGGATAACCTCCCTCGCTGAATCACAGCTACAGACCCGGCAGCAGATCAAGAAGTTGGAAGAACTGCAGCAAAAAGTATCCTATAAGGGTGACCCAATCGTGCAGCACCGACCCATGCTGGAGGAGCGGATTGTGGAGCTGTTCAGGAACCTGATGAAAAGGTGCTGAAGGCAGGCAGGAGCTGCAGGCAGTCCCAGTCATGGCTGTGGGTGGAGGGTGGGCAGCGAGGTCTGACTGTGGTCTCTGTGCTGTTCCTGCAGTGCTTTTGTTGTGGAGAGGCAGCCCTGCATGCCCATGCACCCCGACCGGCCCCTTGTCATCAAGACAGGTGTGCAGTTCACCACCAAAGTCAGGTGGGTCACCTTCCCTGCAGGTGAGGGAGGGGAGCTGAGCAGGGAGGGCAGCCTGGGATCACTCTCTGAAGATGCTGCTGTAGATACAGCCCCCAGCTTATCTGGGGAGCACTGGTGCTGGGAAGGGATGGATACCAGCAGGGATGATCCCAGTGGGCTGGAGTGCTGCCCACATGACTCAGTGCAGGGCTGGCTGGGGATCTGCCATGTTCCTGGAAGCAGCTGGGTTCTGGTAAATCCTGCTGTGAGGGTGGGAAGCATCAGCCCATCCCTGGCCAGCTGCAGCTCAGCCTGGGCCATGTTCTCTGCCAGCCTCCACGGCGGTAGGCTGCTCTGATGCCAGGCTCTGCCTGGAGCTTCCTTGCCCTTTCCCATCTGTGCCTCCATGGCAGCCTCTGGCCCAGAGTAGTGTGGGGGGTGTTTGTTCAGAGCCTGGCACGGGCTGTCAGCAGCCCAAACAAGCTCCTTGGGATGCTCAGGAAGTACCAGCACCTCCCTGGTTTTGGGGACAGGTGCCAGGGCTGACATGTCCCAGACCTGTGTGGAGGTGTACCGAGGGCCACCAGAGGAGCTGGTTCATACTGCTGGCTGTGCCAGGTGCCCTGTGGAGCAGGAGCAGTTTCTGTGCACAGCATGTTCATGCTCTGTGTCTGCTGATTCTTGCAGATTGTTGGTCAAGTTTCCAGAGCTGAACTATCAGCTGAAAATCAAAGTCTGCATTGACAAGTGAGTCCTGTGCTTCCCTTCCAGTGGCACTGGGTGGGCTTACTGGGATGGGACTGATTCCTGCTGCTCCTGGATTGGGCTCAATCTCCACAATGAGGGCCAGTATGGCCCCCAGTTGAGGGGGAGGGTGCAGAGTGGTGCTGAGTCCTGAGGATTCACCCCCATGTGGGGGGGAAGGCTTGTGGGACTCATGGGACTCATGCTGTGATGCAGCTAGCACTGCACATCAGCTTGTCTGCATCAGGGTAGGAAGGCCACTCCCGTGACCTGGTGTCTCTTTCCCATTTTCTAGGGACTCTGGGGATGTTGCAGCACTTCGGGGGTAAGTGCACTGTGCACTGTTTGCTTTGCTCCTTTCTTCTTGGTTCTGCTTTTTTTTCCTGGCCAACATCCTACCACACATTCACTCCAAGACTGCCCTGTCAGCCACACTCTTTCCTCTTCCCAGGTCCCGGAAGTTTAACATCCTGGGGACCAACACCAAGGTCATGAACATGGAGGAGTCAAACAACGGCAGCCTCTCAGCAGAGTTCAAACACCTGGTGGGTACCATGAGCTCCTGGGCTGCTCCTGTGCAGCCAGGTGTTATTGTGGTGCTGCTGCAGCCTGTCCCTCTCTCTGCAGACCCTGCGGGAGCAGCGGTGTGGGAATGGAGGCCGAGCCAACTGTGATGTGAGTGTCAGGGGCCCTGGGAGGGTGGCTGGCCATTGACAGGGGCAGCTGAGCTGGGAGGGGATGCAGGAGCCCTGCCCTGAGGCAGGGGGTCCGCCAGCACTGGTTGGCACATTGGCAGCTTGCCAGGCCAGCCCAGCAGCCATGCTGGGTCTGGTGGTCGTGTGTTGGGCTGAGGGTGGGTGTCTTGGGGTGCTCATGGTGTCCCCTTCTGCCCAGGCCTCGCTGATAGTCACCGAGGAGCTGCACCTCATCACTTTTGAGACAGAGGTGTATCACCAGGGGCTGAAGATCGACCTGGAGGTGAGGCATGGGTCACTGCCTTCCACTGCCACGGGCCTGGGTAGAGCCCTGGGATTTATCCCAACTGATGGTGACATCCTCTCTTTGCAGACCCACTCGCTGCCTGTGGTGGTTATCTCCAACATCTGTCAGATGCCCAATGCCTGGGCATCCATCCTGTGGTACAACATGCTGACCAACAACCCCAAGGTAGGGCTGGTGTGGGAAGGCAGCAGGGCAGGTGTCAGGATGGGGGTGTCACGGTGAGAGAGGGAAACTGAGGCCAAGGAGCAAGGCTGAGGCAGCACCTGGCCGTGCTCCTGTCCCATGTCCTACTCAGGGCTGTGTGTTCCTTCGTGCAGAACGTGAACTTCTTCACCAAGCCACCCATTGGGACCTGGGACCAGGTGGCAGAGGTGCTGAGCTGGCAGTTCTCCTCCACCACGAAGCGTGGGCTCAGCATCGAGCAGCTGACCACACTGGCAGAAAAACTGCTGGGTAAGTGTGGGGTGACGTGGCAGGTTGTCCTGCCCATCCCTGTTGTCCCCTGGCGTGATTCCCCACCTGTACATGTCATCCAAGAGTGAGGTCCTGTGTTTGGCCTGGGAGCTTTTGGCTTGAGTAATTTTCAGGTTCTTGGTTTTCTCCCAGATGGCACAAACCCTGGAAATTGTGTCTTTGGAAGGACAGCTCTATTTAAATGGTTATGTTCCTTTTCCCTCCCAGGACCAGGTGTGAATTACTCTGGCTGTCAGATCACCTGGGCCAAGTTTTGCAAGGTAGAATTTCCTTTCTTCCCTGAGCACATTCCACTGGCTGTTCCCTTTTTCCAAGCCGTGCTAGCAGCCTCTCTGCCTTTTCCTCAGGAGAACATGGCTGGCAAAGGCTTCTCTTTCTGGGTCTGGCTGGACAACATCATTGACTTGGTGAAGAAGTACATCCTGGCTCTGTGGAATGAAGGGTGAGTGCCAGCCCAGAGCCTGAGGTTAGGCTGGGCCTTGGAAGGGGTCCCATGGGTTCCACCCTGATGCCATGGGGTGCCTTGTCCATGTGCAGGTGTGCTGTCCTGGGATACTTTTTGCTGGTTCAGACTGAAAACTCGCCTGGGAATCCATAAAATGTCAATGGCCAGGCTGAGTTCTGTTGTTGGGTAGAGCTGGCAGGACTTATATCCTGAAGGAGCTGCTCCTGTGCCCTGACCCATATTTGTTGTTCTTGCTTCCTCCTGCCCAGGTATATCATGGGCTTCATCAGCAAGGAGCGGGAGCGAGCCATCCTGAGCACCAAGCCCCCAGGGACCTTTCTTCTGCGCTTCAGTGAGAGCAGCAAGGAAGGAGGCATCACCTTCACGTGGGTGGAGAAGGACATCAGTGGTACGAGCTCTACCCTTGCTACTCTGGGTGTCTGGCTTGATATTCCAGGTTCCAGAGGGGTCTTGGATGCCCTGATAAGCATTTGTCCTTTGTCCTTGTCCCAGCAAGCTGTCTGCATGGGTTAACTTCTGAGCCTGGCCAGCCTTAGCTGGTCTTTGCCTTCTGGGTGTCTGTGCCCATGTGCTGCCCATGGGGCAGTTTCATATGGCACTGACACAGTCAGGTCCCAGTTCTGCCCCTTGGTCTGCTGTGTGCCTGGTAGGGCTAAACACAGCCCCAGGCCCATCCTGTCCCTACTGCTCTGGGGGTGACTGAAGGCAGCCCTGCCTTTGTTCTGTGCCAAACATCTCCTTCCTTGCACAGGGAAGACACAGATCCAGTCGGTGGAGCCTTACACCAAGCAGCAGCTGAACAACATGTCGTTTGCGGAGATCATCATGGGCTACAAAATCATGGATGCCACCAACATCCTGGTGTCCCCACTGGTGTACCTGTACCCAGACATCCCCAAGGAGGAGGCGTTTGGAAAGTACTGCCGCTCTGAGAGCCAGGAACACTCGGAAGCGACGGACTCAGGTAGTCGTTGACTTTCTGTGGCTCCTTTGTCACAGGGAGGCTCTGGGGATAGCACTGGCTGTCACCAGCCAGGACCCTGTGCCATCCCTGGAGGGCACAGCCACAGAGTGGGACCAGCCATGGGGTCCTGTTGGGTATGGTCAGAGGGTGGGCACTGCCTGTGTTCTGGGGGGCAGAGAGAAGGATTCGTCCTGGGGTGGCTGATGACGAAGCTTCTCCCTCCTTGCAGGTGCTGCTCCGTACCTGAAGACCAAGTTCATCTGCGTCACCCCGTGAGTGTTTCTGGGGATTGTCTGTCAGTGCTTGGGGGGTGTTTGTGTGCTCAGCCTTGCTTAAGGGAAAGGTTTCCTTCCTTTCTTTCCACATCTATCTGAGCTTTGCTTGGTTACTGTGGGGTTCCCAGCCTGGGGTGACGGTGGGGGCTGAGCTAGGCTCCGGCTGCTGCCCAAACCACAGCCCTGTTCTTCCCCTCCGGGGCCCCTTTCCTCTGGAGAACTCTGGGGGCTGCTGGGCCGTGCCCGGGGGGCCCCTCAGCGGGTAGAGGGGGTGTTAGATAGCTCTTGCCGGGCTCTGACTCCGGAGGTTTGTGTGCTTCTTCTCCCTTGGACAGCACCTCCTTCAGCAACACCATCGACCTGCCCATGTCCCCGCGCACCCTGGACTCACTCATGCAGTTCGGCAACAGCAGCGAGGGCGCAGAGAGCAACGCGGGTGGGCAGTTCGGTGAGTCGGGGGGGGCTCCAGGGGGCCCTGGCTGCCACCCCGCACGGGCCCCGTAACCCTGGCTGTGTCTGCCCGCAGAGTCGCTGACCTTCGACATGGAGCTGACCCCAGAGTGTGCGTCCTCGCCCATGTGAGGGGCTGCGCCGGCGCGCGGGGCCCTCCCTGGGCTCAGCCTTCCCACCTCCAGAGCGCTCCCCCGGATTTGTCCCACTCGGCTGCAGCTGCTCCAGGCCTGCCCTCGGCCACAGCTGGGGGCCAGGGTCCCTGAGTGGGTTCAGGTCCTCACCTGACCCAGCAGCGCAGCCCCTCTCTGGGGTGGTGCCTCTCACCTCTGGGGGAGGGGGATGAATCTTTTTCTATTTCCTTCCATAACAGTTTTCTATTATTTTTTCTCATTCAAGTGCCTATTTGCCTCCGATTGCAGCCACAGCTCCCACAAACTCTTCCACAGCCCCAGTCCTGCTGCTGGAAGCTGCTGCCCTGACTGCCCGCACCCAAACCCACAAGACCCTACAAGTCTGGAATTGCAGAGGGGATTGGCCATGTGGCAGGGTCTGCCCTGCTGCTCCCAGCACCTCCTAGAGCTTGCAGGGTGCTGGGCTGAGTCCCCTCTCTGCACCCACCTGGTTTTAGAGACCTCTGGCCAGGATGACCAGTACAGGGCTTGGAGCTGCAGGTGGATGTATCCAGGTTCTCCCACCCTTGACTCAGGAGGCACTGCCCCTGCTGGACTCAGCCTGGGGTTTGCTGGGAGCCCAGAGGTTCAGGAGCTGTTTGTGCTTGTCCCCAGATTCCTGCTTTAGAGTGGTCTGGCCAATGCTGGCAGCCCGGGCTCATTTTGGGATGGCTGGTATCCCTGGGGTAGGGCAGTGCTGCTACCCAGGAATGGCACCTGTGTGTGAGCAGCATTTGCAGCTGTGGCCCATTCTGGGAGCTGGATGAAGCCACAGGGGCTGTCCTGCTTCCCTGTGGCCAGGCTGGTGCTGGGAGCTCGGTCTTGCTTCCAGCACTGTGCCAAGTTAGACCTCTTGGACCCTGGGGAATTGGGGGAACCAGCATGGCTGACAGTGGGGCACCTGGCCTGTCCCCTTCTTTCTGGGTTATGAGGGGCCAGGCATGGGGTCCTGCAGCTTCTTGGGGGCTTCATGTGGCATTTGTATTGGAGGTTGGCCCTCACAGTTAAGGTGGGAAGAGGCAAGAGTTGAAGGGAGCAGGTGGATGTGAGGAGAATAACATATTGTGGGGCAGTGCAAGACAGTGACAGGGGTGTTGTGAAGAGCAGGTCTCCTGACTTTTGGGGGGTTGGTGGTTGTGGTCCTGCATTTAACAAAACTGGGGGAGCCCTCCTGCCCTTTCCATGCAATGGGCAAACAGACACGGATGAGCAGTGGAGGGGTGGGGGAGGCAGTGGCAGAGCTGCTCCCTCCGAGTTGCATCACAGCTGGTGGGCAAGGAGCAGGAGGGCAGGGGGGAGGATCCCCATGGCTGTGGGGTCTGAGCAAGCCCCTCCAAGCTGTGAGGAGCAGGATGGGGGGTCCGTGGCTGGCCCTGGGGATGCTCAGGGGCGATGAGGGCCCTTTGCCCCTCTGCTCGCTCGCCATAGCTGCCTCCAGCCACAGTCCCTGGCAGCATTCAATACTGTAAAAAATTTTATTTTTTGTATATTTTATTGCTGTATCTACAGGCTTTAACTTTCTCCGAAATAAAGGCCCTGAAGCGACGTGCTCTGGGGTGTGAGCTTGGCTCTGCCTGCGGCACCCGCCTGACCCTGCTCTGGGAACTGGGGCCTCTGTCGGCGCAGCGCGGCCGCGGCGCCGCAGCCGCGGTTTGCTGCTGCGACCCGGCTGCGGCACCTGCCCGGCACGCGTGGGCAGCTGCCCCATAGCGGGGCCTGCGGGGCCCTTCCCGGGCGTGCGGGGGGCAGTCGCCGTGTCCCAGCCCGTGGTTGCTCTCTCTGCCCCAGAGACGCGCCTGGGTCTCCTCCACTTGTGTAAAGGAAATGCCGGTGCCAGCGTGGGAGGACGTGGCGGCGCTGGGGCCCTGCTCTGGCTGCTCTCGGCTGTCTGGGGCTGCAGAGGGGCCCCTGCGACTGCTGCTGCCCCCGGGGTCCATGAGCTGGGGCTGGGGGCAGCAGGTCCCAGGCTCTGCAAGGCACGGCTGGATGGGTGTATGAGGCTGGGAGCGCTGGCTGGTGACAGTGACGCACTTTGCACCCTGGTGGATCCCACCCCAGCACATGCACCCCTAGCCCTCTACAGTACCATGGAGAACAGGATCATTCCAGGTTTTGTGCTCTGATGAGGCCAAGAGGGAGAGATTATTTCTCTGTCAGAGCAGGATTAGGGGGATTGTTCATGCAGGTCATGTGGAACTGGCTGTGCTGCATCATTTGAGGCGCTGGAGGTGCGCTGGAGCCTTCTCTGCCCTCTGTGTGCCCTGGAGCATCCTGCTCAGGTCTGAGCTGACCATGTCCCTGCTTTGGGAACCGGCCTCACTCCAGGTCCCTCCATTTCTCTGTCAAACCAACCCAGGGCTCTGCCCAGACCCCACAGTCCCATTCCTGCTCTTAAGGCAGCTGTGTTGGATCATTGTCTATCTCAGTGGTGCAGCCCAGGGTGCTGCAGGTGAGGGGCAGCTCACAAAGGAATGAGGCCCAGCCCGCTGGCAGGGACCCCCTTCTGGCCTGGCAGGTACCAGCTCCCCTCTGGCAGCTGCAGGATGGAGTTGAGAACCCAGGACTAAGGAATTTCCTTACTCATTTGCAACCCTTGGGGTTGCCACAACCATGTGGTGTCAGGAACATGGTGTTTCATTCCCCATTCCTGCAGATCAGGGGTTCTTTATCTCCCTGGGCCCACTGCATTCCTGTTGGCACCTGCCCTGCTCAGCCAGGAGCAGCCCAGGCGCCGCTGCTCCCAACTCTGAGTTCCTGCTGTGGGTAGCAGCAGGCTGGCAGCTTGGCAGCTCCTGGAGCCTGGAGAAAGTGCCCAGGGAAGGTCCCTGTGCTGGGCTGGAGAAACCCCTGCAGCACCAGCAGCAAGTGGGGCAAGGGACTCTTGCCAACATCCTGTCCCCCTCCTTCTGCCCCGTTGGGCTGCTGCCCTTGTTGTCTGCCTGTGCTGGGGCAGAAGGTTGTTTGTGGCTCCAAAAGGAGGTCACGGGGTGGCTTTGCTCCTTGCCCAGAGCTGCTGCACAGTGGGGAGGAGTGGGGACGGTGTCTGAGCCAAGCGTGCAAACGGATTAGGGGTTTCCAAATGCAGATAATCCGCTTGGGATGCGGACACTTGCATGACGGGCACAGGGCGGCCCCGTGGGGATGGGCAGCCACCTGCCAGGGCAGCCCCAGACCAGGGGCAGTCCAGAGCAGGCGCTAGTGTAGAGTCCCACTGGTACCTGGGGTGTGCAATATTGACAGTTCCTTGGGAATAAGGCAGCAGACGGGGATTAGAGAGGCCACAGTTTATCCCAGGGCCAAGCAACTGAATGAGCAGGGCTGCAGTGAGGGGTGGGAGGCAGAAAACCCCGGGACTCGGTTGCTACCTGCCTGAGGGTCACCTCTGCCCTCCCAGGTGCTGGGTAGGATCTTCCCACAGCAACACATGCTGAGCTGCAGAGCACATGCCACTGCTGCCCAAGCCAAGAGCCATCCCAATCCCTGCTTCCAGTGCTCAGAACACAACAGTCAAATAAATATTGCATCACACTCAGATAAATACACAGCAGAGCAGAACCAAGCAGTGGCAGAGGTCAGAGCCGGAGCTCCGGCACGGTGTGATCTCCAAAAACACCACCTCCCAGCCATTCCAGGAGGACACAACCTGCCCGTTTCCCTACAGGTGTCACATCCTGGCTCAGAATGCAGCATCTGGCTGTGGTGGCACCAGCACCAAGGGCTCTGCTCACCCCGACATCGGGTGAAGGGCCCTGGCCCTGGTGCAGCCACTGGTCTGGGCCGACCTGTGGCAGCACATTTGTGGCAGGAGTGGCTGGGACTGAGCGGTTACTGTGGCAACCTGAGCTCTGCGAGGGAGAGCAGGGATGCAGGGAGAGGACAGGGATGTGCAGGGATGTTGGGATGCACCAGCGTGGGGTGGGGGCCAAGTGCAGCCCCTGATGGTTACGCTCCTGCTGCCCCCAGCCAGCCCTGGCACTGGGGTGGGCATGAGATGATCGTGCCCTTGTCCCAGCTGGGCTGTGGGTGCTGCAGGGCTCCCTGTGCCCTCTCAGGTGCAGAGATACTCACTGAGCTGATGGGGGGTTCTGGTGCCCTCTGCAGACCCATTCGGGCTCTCGCTGTCCTGTCCTGGCTGTTTCAGTACCAGAAACTGGATGTTCTTTCCTAGCTGGAGGAACTATGGAGGAAACATTGCCCAGGCAATGGCACCGCTTGGCTGCTGAGGCCAAGTGTTTGCTGGGTTGCTCCCAGCCATATTCGAGTGGCTGGAAGCAGAGGTTTCCTGTGGAAATTCCCCCTTGGACAAAATGTCATTTCCGGTTTTTGCTGGAGCTGATCATTCCCTCCCGCTGGCACTAGGCACCATCAGGCTGAGCCTGTGCCAGTGACAAGCATCTCTGGTGCCCCGCTCGCCCTGCCCATGGCTCCAAGGCGTGTGCTGCCCATGGGTGGCCGGGTTCTGGCAGGGTCTGTGCTGCTGCCCTGTCCCCTCGGCTGTGGCCTCACTCTGCACCAGCAGCGGGGCTGGAACCCCGCAGGGCCCATCCCCACTGCTTCTCCAGTGGGACCTTTGTGGGGAAATGTGACTCTGTGACTAATGTGGGGATTCATCTGTGTCACATTAGCTGGGCTGGATTATCACAAGGGGGTTTTGTTTTGAGACCTGCGAGTGTGAGGGTTGCAAAGCAGGGATGGGATGGGGCTGGGCTCTCCCATGAGATGTCCTGCTCCCAGGAAGCAGGAGGGGACGGAGCTGAGGCGGTGTCCTGCCCGCAGGTGATGTGCTTGGGTGTTTGTGCTTTGCCCAAGCCCAGCACTCTGCACATCCCGGGAGCAGCAGGAGGATTGCAGAGGAGCCTCACATACAGGATGTGCCCGGTGGGCAGTAGCCAAAAGCGTCAGGACCTCTCCAAAGCCGCCTAAATAAATGCTTCCACTCCTGAGAAATAATTAAGACCCTTGAGATGCCACTTAGAAAGGAAGGCTGTTCCGCCCGCACTCGTTGCACTCCTGCTCCAAACACAGAGGCAATTTTCTCGGAAATCCATTACGAAGCTCCAGACTCCCTCTGTCCCCGGAATGCGCGGCGTCATTCGGCATCCTGCTGAGCTCATGCGAGGTGGCCGTGCGTCCGGCTGTGGCTCAGCCTGGATAATGCTCACCTTCCCAGAGGCTTCCCGACACTTTCTGAGACCCAAAGAGAGCCAGGGCAGGGCTAAGATCGCTTCGGGGCATCGCTGGGATGGAGTTCCAGGGCAGATCCAGGGGCAGCCTCTCCATTGGTCTCTGCTTCAGTCACTGTTCCTGTGTTCTTTTCCTCTGGAAAGGAAGAATTTCTCCTGGTAACATCCCCTCCAGCCAGCTTGGAGTTTTCCTTGGGACCTGGTGAAAACAAACTGTGATTGGATTTTATTGAATTCCATTTGCCCTCTCAGCATGGAGCACTCTCCACCTTCTTTCCCAACACTAATTCATTTTTCCTTTTTCCCCCCTTTGTAGCAGAAGGGGAGGGAGAAAGGAGGGAAGTGAGAGGGAACAGAGGGTGTTCTGCATACATCTTCCAACTTTCCCAAGCACGTGTAGCTGTGCAGGTCTCTGGCACAGCTGTGTGTCCCTGGGATCCTCCAGATACTCCTGGATCTGTGGTGCCCAGACAGAGCCCCAGCAGCCACAGACATTGTGTGTGACCTTGATTTCTGTGGCCGGAGCAGCCAGTGCCCGCCTGGCTGACTGCGCCAAGGGGTTATGTGGGCCAGGGATTGTGAAAGCCGCGTGTCCGCGTGATGCAACTCACCAGAGCAAGAGCATCCCAGCCCAGCAGGGTGGGCAGGCCCCAGGGCCCTGCGCTGCATCCTGCGTTCCTTTTCTTCTCTCTCGTTGCATACAGACAGTGTGGGAGCTGCTGGCTTCACCTTGGGTGCCTGTCCTTGCTTGCCAGGGTCCCAGCTCACCTCTCTGTGAGGTCTGGAGTGCCCCAGGAGCACTGGGAGCTGCAGCCAGGGCTCTGCTGGCAGCGGCTCAGCAGCGATGTGTCAGCCTTTGTGCGTGAGATTCTCCCAAGCGGGTGAGCGCAGGCAGCAAAACATTTAGTGGGAGCTGGGGGCTGTTTGGGCTGGAGTCACTCATTCAGTCATTCACCAAAGCTGCACCAGGCACAGAGTGGAGCTGGCAAGTTGGAAAGCACCGTTTTGTGGCTGGCATTTGCATGGAGCAGGTGCTGGGCTGGTCCCTGCCCAGCCCACAGGTATTTATCTCTTGGAAGCGTGGAGCTGGACTAGGCAGTGAGGAGCCTGGAGCCAGAGGACTTTAGCTCAAGAGCAATGGATAAAAGCAGTAGAGAGGTGGGAACCTGGGGCTGTGCTCTGACACAGTGGCCAAGTGATTTGCAATTGCTGGTGCAGCAGCTGTCTGAGAATGATCCTGTTCCAGCACTGGCACAAGGAGAGACGAGCCCCTCCTTCCTGGACTCCCACCGGTGAAAGCTCACCTGTGCTTCTACCAGCCCGGAGCAGGAGAGGGACCTGTTTACTGAATTTCCCTCCGGAGTTTTTTCAGGCCACAGAAGATGAGCTGGTAGCGAAAGTGAAAGCCCAGGAGATCCCATGTGGTGGGTGCAAGCGCTGGGGCAGAACGAGCACACCCAGTATTGCTTCCTGCCGCCGCCTCTGCCCATCACCGCACGGCAGCCGCACCCCGGGGTGCCCATCACCTGGGGCACCCCAGTGCCCTGGGGTGACAGTGCTGCCAGGAAGAGTCTGCTGTGGGTGCCAGCTGTGCAAGAGCTCCTCAGGATGGTTTTCTTATGGCTGCTGTCAACTTTCCCTGTTTGAGCAACTGCAGAGGAGCTGGCAGTGCCTTGGGTCTCCTCGCAGCTTGCAGGGGACGTGGCAGCTTGGAAGAAGGGGATGCAGCGTCTTGTCCCAGCAGGTGCCTGAGGCTGTGGCAGCACTGGGGATCTTGGCCATGCACATAGCTGCAAAGTGTCAGCCCAGGCCTGTGGTGGGAATGAGCACTGTGCAGCCAGGGCTGCTTCACACAGAGGGCCCAGTGTCAGCACAAGGCAGCCCTGCAGTCACGTCTGTGGCGACCTGGTACTGATTTGGTCATTCCTGCTCCCAGAACCGAGGCTTGGTGCTGCTTTGGGCTTCCCTGGTACTTACGGCCAAATTCTGGCGCTGGTTTGTGTCCTACAGCAGCTGCTGGTGTTGAAGCCTCCAGCTGTTTTGAATTCTAGTGCCTGTGACTCACTTATGACACCCTGTGCCATTACCTCTTACTGGTGCTGGTACTGGTGGCACTAACCTGTGCTGGTGCCCGGTACAGCCACCCAGTGCCACTGCCTGATGCCATTATCCCGTGCCCGGTACCGGCACTGTTACCCGGTGCCCGGTGCCGTTACTCAGCGCCATTACCTGGTGCTGTTGCCCAGTGACCGGTACCGCTCCGTTACCCGGTGCCGTTGCCGGTGCCGGCGGGGCCAGGCGGGGGCGGGGCCGCGGGGGGGCGGGGCCGCGCGGGCCGGGCCGGGGCGCGGCGGGGGCAGAGCGGCGGCGGAGCCGAGCGCCGGGAGCCGCCGGGAGCCGCGGGAGCAGCGGAGCCGCAGCCGCCGCCGCGGCCGCAGGTGGGCGCGGGCGGGAGCGCGGAGCCATCATCGCCGCCGGGACCGGAGCGGACCGGACCGAGCGGGCCCGGATCCCGGACCCCGTCCGCCTTCCGCAGCAGGGCCGGGCGGGGTGCAGCGGGGCCGAGGCTCGGGCTGGGGCTCCGGGCGGTCCGGTCCGGTCCGGTCGGCGCTGTGGGTGTTTCGTAACCCCGGGCAGGCGCGGCCGGGCCGGGCGCGGGGCTCGGCGGGGCCCGGCTGGGCCCGCGGGCCCCTGGGCGGGCGGAGGCGACAGTGGGGCCGCTCCGAGGGGGCAGCGGGTTCGTCCCGGGCCCGTCCTGGTGCCGCGGCGCATCCCGGGGCGGGGGCGCTCCTCGCCCGGCGGAGCGGGGCCGGTTTTCGCACGCGGGCCCCGCCGGAGCGGCGGCCGCGGAGGGCGGCTCGAGCCCCGGTTCCGGGCCGAGGGGAGGATCCGGGACAGAGCGAGGCGTCCCCGTGCGGTGCCGGCGGCGTCCTGCCGCAGGCAGCACACCGGACCGGGATGGCGGGAGTGCGAGCCCCGTTGCTGCCGGTGGCACACGCGGCTCCGCGCCGCGGGGCGGGTGGGATCGTTCCCCCGCGGGAGCGGCGACACCACGGGGAGCGCAGCGCCCGGTGGCCTTTCACCCAGCTCGGGCGCGGCCGGTGACGGGGAGCCCGCGGGAGCCGCGGCCACCTGTCCCGCGGGTTACGGAGCTGTCAGGGCTCCGTGCCCGGCCAGCCCCGGGCCCGTGCCAGCCCCGCCGGGGCAGCTCCTGCCGAGCGGCTCCGGGGCTCCAGTCTCGGCTCGTACCGGCACTGCTGAGCTGCGCTGACACCGCCGGTGGGCCGGGGCTGTTGGCTCGTTCAGTTCTCCGGGTGCCGTGCTGGGCCCCCCTGGCACCGGGCCGGTGACCGGCAGCAGTTTGGTGACGGTGCCTGGGGTGCGTTGCGGAGGGGACAGGGCTAGGCTCGGTAGCTCCGAGTGGCTTGCCCACAGCAGGGGATGGCACACGATGTCCCTGTGGTGCGGGGCCCTTGGTTAGAGCAGGACATTCCCGGTTGTGGGCTGGCTCATTGAGCTGCCTGTGGCCAGCCCGGGTCCCTGCAGTGCTCGTGCCTGTGCCCAGAGCAGTGTGAGCCCCGGCAGTGGCATGCGAGGAGGCACTCAGTGCAGGCACAACGAAGTGCTCTGCAGAGCCTGACCACTGCCATGGACACCAGGATCCAGCTCTCCACGGTGGGAGCTCTCCCTTCCACGTCTTGACTCCTGGCCCAGGTCCTTGATCTCCTGAAGCCATCAGGATTGCAGCCTGACCTGGTGTGTTCCAAGGTGCTGGATGTGAAGATGGAGACTGTTTCCCTGGATTTTATAACTGTTCCTGGGAGCTATTCATCCTTGGGGCTGGAGAGGGCTGTGCTGTGCCCTGCTGTGCTGTGGGTGCAGCATGAGGAGGAGGAGGAGCTCTGGTGTGGGCTGAGAGGTGCCAACAGCCTGTGTGCAGGGACATGGGAGAGCTGGGCTGGGAGCAGGGAGTGACGGGTGACTGTCACCCACTCTGTTTTGTGACATTTTGACAGTGCCCTGCTTTGGGGGTGTTGGGTCCCTACAGTTGTCCTTAGAGCCACCTCACTGGCTCTGCTGCCTCTGCCTTGTGCCAAGGCCAGTGCTTTGGGGTGGGATTAGGGATACTCTCACCATACTGGGAGCTGCAGTTGGGGATGCTTAGCACAGGGCGCATGGAGCCTCTGGAGGGACCTTCCCCTCTCACTGCAGGGGAAATGCTGACTCCAAAGTGACTGCGAAGGCTTTGCCATGGGGTTTCCCAGCTCTCTTTCGAGTGATAGCAAAACTCAGATACCCTGCTTGCAAAAAATCCCTGCTCCCTGCACTTTGCGACATTGTGGGCGGCAAGTGGCAACTGCTTTGGGCTGAGTACAGTGAAGCAGCCCCATCAACTGGGAAATTACTTTTTAGTTTGGAAGGAATGACTGTAAGCTGGGCCGCACCCAACAGGCTTCACAGCAACCCTGGGGAGCTGGTGGGAGCCCGGGCTCACTGGGATGGCAGGTGGGGTGGGTGGGACCTCCCTGCCATCAGCATCCCCCGGGTACCTGTGCTGGTGGCAGCATCCCTCTGCCTGCCTGGCTGTGGTGACTCCCAGTGTCCCACACACTGAGTGCTGCCCTTGAAGCAGCTACTGCAGGGGAGCCAGGGCATGGCTAGGGTCAGGGTTAGAGTAAGAGTCCCCACCTTGCCAGGACGGGTCAGGACTCAGCTCTGCAGCCATGCAGAGCTCCAGCCTGGGAGGCTGTGCTGGCTCCGGGGCTCCGGCACGCTCCGGGAGAAGTAGCCTCGACAGCTGTAATGTTTCTGTGGCATGCCTTTCCTTTCATGGGGTGTCTATTTTGCAACCCCCAAGTGTTTTGATCCCGGGAGGAAGGGGGCGGGGGTGTTTACCCTGGCACCGCATGGCTGGTGCAGGGATCCAAGTGGTGCTGGGCATGCCTGAATTTCACATGCAGCAACAGTTCTAGCAACATCTGCTGGCTGATAAAAGGTAGGCTGCTGCACGCCGCTGCTCCTGCCGCGTTGGGAAACGTCGAGGGGGAGGCACACTGTGAACACGGCTTCCTGGCCGATAGGGCTGAGCTGACTTGCTGATAAAGCAGAATCCACCCATCTGGCTGCACCAGAGGGGCCAGGAGCACAGGCTGCTCGCAGGCGCTTCATGCCCAGTGCTTCCCTGAGTGCTGGGTCCTGCTTCCCACTGTATCAGGAATGATGTGCTGCTGCCAAGCTGGGACAGCCTCAGGAGCATAGCTGAACCACAGCACAGTCCCAACCCATTCCTGGTTCAAACAGTCATTGGTGAGTTTTGCAATCCCCACTTCCAGTGTAACTCTGTGTTATGAGCTGGTTTATAGCACAGCTCTGCTGGGGAGGGAACTGGGGAAAAGGCTGGTGCTGGAGAGCCACTGCCTCAAAGAGCCACAACAGTGAGGCAGCCCTGCCCACCACGTGCTGGGTGCTCATTCTGTCTGGCCTCTCGTCCCTATCATTCAATGGCCCTCCAAGGCCTTTAGCAGACAAAGACGCTGCTCTTGCTGGCAGTTCTGAGTCCCTGCACCAGCTGGAACTGCTGTAAAATGATCTTTGTCCTCTCTGGTGTGAATACCAGACCCTGGTGCTGTTGAGCTGTGGGCCCAGGGGTGCAGCTTCTCTGGCCCTGCTTGTGGAGATGCTGTGGTGAGGCTTATGGTGCGGCTCAGGGGTAGGGACTCTGCTGCTGCTTCAGGGGCTGGAAAGCCCATCCCAGGGCCAGGAAAACCAAAACTCACCTGGACATATTTGTGTGTGAATGGGTGCACGCTGTGCTTCACCCCTCTCTCGATTTGACTGAGAAATTTGTTGCACAAACCACTGGTGTTTTGGTTGTTTTATTCTCTGTCTGACGAGCATCCCTGTATGTCTGTGCATCCCCTCTTCCACAAGCAAGGCTTTTCTCCTCTCCATCCTGCTCTGCTGGCTTGGTGCAAGAGCATCTCTGTGTGCAGAGCTGCTGCAGCTGCTGGGGATGAACTCTGGGTGTGCACTGGGGGGATGCAGGAGCTGCTCTGGTGTCCCTCTGGCTCTTCCTGCTCACCAGACATCCAAAAGCCTGTGCTGTGCTAGCTGGGCTGGCCCTGCAGGACAGCCATGCCAAGGGTGAGGAGGCTCCTGCACCATGTCCCCAGCCCCAAGGAGAGCTGGAGCATGGCATAGATCCGAGGGGATGGATGCAGCCAGAGCAGTCCGGTGGTGCCTGTGCTGCCCACATCTTCCCCAGCCCACCTGGGTCCTGCCCAGCAAATCCAGTCTGGCTGTGGGTGGATTAGTGCCATTGTGTGAGCTCACTGGAGCATGGCAGAGAAAATGAAATTGTGTCTCCAGACCCCAATCGGGACTAATTCGATGCTGAAATGAGCTTAATCCTCAGGTCCTTCGCCCAGCCTGTCCCTCCTGGGCTGGCGCAGGTCTGAGCAGGGATTAGCACCGAGCCAGGGGCTGTGATGGATTTGGCCTCAGTGCAGGAGGCTGCTACAGAACCTGTGGGACCCCAGGGCTGTGCCCTCAGGGAACTTGGGGTTGGTCCTTATTAGCATGGAGGGAAAATCCCTTCCTTGAATGTCCTGGCACGGGGCAGCTGCACATCCCTGCCCAGGCAAGGCCAGAGTCTGGGATGCTGCAAGCGGTCAGTGGCTTTGTGCCTGCCCTGGGATTCCCCCACCGAGCCAGGGGAAGCTCCAGAACTGTGAGTTGGCAATTCCCTGCTGTGCCAGCCCCAAAGCTAGTTAATTCAGCTGCTTGGCCCCAGGGAGCCAGGAGTAATTAAAGCTCTGCCCAGCCTCTCTAATCCTGTCTGGGGGTTTATGATGGGGGCAGCACCAGTGCTGGCAGGGACTGGGTGGATGTCCTGCAGCAGCCACACTGGACTCATGCCATGGGGCTGGATGGGCACTGGGCTCTGCTGATGTGGCTGTACCATGTGTCCTGCCCACCAGTGCTGGTGCTGCTACATGCTCAGTGTCTGAAAGAATCCCACTGGTGCCCAGGCAGTGCCTGTATCTGGCTGTGCCTGCCCCAGGGTGGCTCTTGGTGCGCTGAGGTTTTCTTGAGGTTCCAGCTGTTGGATTCAAGGGATTTTGCTGGGTATTTTGGTGGTTTTGGTTTGACGTAGGTTTCTGGGCCTCTCTGATTGGAAGAAATCTGAAATGAGGAGGAAAACCTTTCCCAAGGGTAGCAAGTGCTGGCAGGCAGAGAGCCTGGCCAGTGGTGTGAGATGAGCTGTCAGCAGCCCCCAGCACTGTTCCCCTGGAACCAGTCCCCCTGGGGCATCTCTGCCTGTGTGGGGCTGGTGTCCCCTCTGGGTAGCATCAGCTTATGCATGTGGTTCCCTTGTTCCTGTAACAGTATGAATTTTCTGCTTTTGGTTCCCAGAGTTGCTGGGACACCTGGACACTCCTGGTGCTACTAGTTCCACCTCTGCCTACCTACTCTGCTGCTGTGGGCCTGTCACCAATGCTCCTGTGGGGCACGTTGGATTACCAGAGCCAGCCATTCCTCTTTCATGAGTATCATGGTACCTGGCCCCAGATGTTTCCAGTGTGGGCTGAGTGGTTTGTCTGCCTCCTCCCCGATTTCACCAGGGTGAAGCCATCAATTGCTGCCACTTTCTGTGGGAGACAAACAAACCCCATCAAAGCACAGAGCTTCGAGAAGGAGCTCGTTCCAGTGCCGGTGGGCGCTGCCACCTCCCAGCCAGAGCTGGAAACCACAGGACGGTGTAAAACATTCGAGCAGCCCTTGGCCCTCTGTGCCACCTCCCCAGTGTGCCGGGGCCACAGCTCTGAGCAGGGCTGGGGGCTGCTCACCATCACCCGGGTGCTCCCGCTGCAGGCTCTGCTCCAGGGCTGTGTGCTGGGGGCTGTGAGCGAAGCTGGGGGGTGCAGGTGAGCGGGTCCCATCTTCCCCTATGCCGAACTCCTGCATGGCTCCCTGGGGTCCCGTCCCTGGGGTCCCGTCCCTGGGGTCCCATCCCTGGGGTCCCGTCCCTGGGGTCCCGTCCCTGGCCCTCAGGCAGCCCCAGTGCCACTGCCCTGCTGAGGACGGAGGCTGTGCCTGCTGCGGCCCCGGGGAGGTGCGGGGGGCAGAGCGGGCGCCCCGCAGGCAGCGCGGCAGAGGAGGCTGCCGGCAGTCGGGGGCAGGCTGTCCCGCGCAGGCACCTGACATTTTGGAAGGAAATAGCTGCTCTCTGCTCCTTCCTGTAGTGCGCAGCCAGCCAAGCGGCCGCCCGGGAGCCCGGCTGTGCCCGCCCCGAGCCGAGCCGAGCCGTGCCGTGCCGTGCCGGGCTGTCCCGGGCCCGGACGCCAGAGCGGGGCCTGAGCGCGGTGAGTGCGGGGCACTGCGCCCCCGGCTCCGGGGGGAGCCGGTGCGGACGGGGCCCGCCGAGGGGCGGCTGGCGGTGTGTGCTGGGGAAACCGGAGCCCTTCGCCCTGCCGAGCGGCCGCTCCCGGCCGTCACCTCCACCGCGCCCGGGGGCCGGATCTTGCCCGGGAGGGACCTTGCGTGGAGCCGCCCGGCTTGGAGGGCTGCCGGCCAGCTTCCCCGTGCCGGGCCGGCCGGGGGCAGCGGCAGCGCCGCCGGGGCAGCCGCGGAGCCGCTCGGCGGCAGCGCCGCAGGGCGCAGGGTCCGGCTGACCTGGAAGCGATCGCGGCTCCCGGAGGTGCCGAGCACCACGTGTCCGTGTTTACGGCGGCGGGAGGCGCCGCGGCCGCCGGGCCCAGCGCCGCGCCCTGCCCCGGGACAGCGCTCCGAGACCCCCGGGCTGCCGCGGCGCCGGCCAAGGGCAGTGCGGGAGCCGCCGCGGCGGAGGGGCGGCGGGGGGCGCGGGAGTGGGGCGGGGGTTGCAGCCCGAGCCCGGCCGTGCCCCCCAGGCCTTTGCCTCGCCCTTGGCACCTGCCCGGCGCTCCACGGCATGAGGCTGCTGTCGGGGCTGTGCCGGCGCCAGGGCAGGGGTGTTCTGCTTCGGGCCGGCTCTGTGCAGGGAGCGTCCCGCGGTGGTTTGCACTGAGCATCCCGCGCAGGGCGTGCTCCGCCGCCGGGGTAGCTGCTGCCCGTGTTTGGATGGCACATGGGAAGCTGCTGCTGCCGTCCTCATCCTGTGAGGCATTTCCCTCCTTTTGTCTGCCCACGGATGTGCTCTGGCTCTCCTGCAGTTTGGGACTTGCTGGTGCCTACTGCCACTGTGCCTGCGACCCTTCCCCGGTGTGATCACGTCAGTCCCCTAGTTGCCCCAAGCCTCAACAGGGCTGCCACCTTCCCCGTCTTCCCTTCTCCTCGCTGGCTGAGTGCCCTTTTTGAGTGGGTTTCTCCTGTTTTGCATTGGGTTTGGCAGTGCTTCCCCATCAGCAGTGGGCAGTGAGACCTTAAGAGGCAGAAATGATGTCTGCTGGCATCTCCCTCTCTCTGCTTGGTCCCTGTGTTGCTGGGGTCCCTCTCCACAGCTCTGGGGTCTGTCCTCAGCAGTGGTCCTATCCTGGGGAGCTGCTGCCTGTGCCCCTTCGCAGGCAATGTGTCGCTGTGGCTTGTCGAGTGCTGCTGGTTAACCGAGCTGCAGTGACGGGTGGGTTCCAGCTCGCTGCCAGCAAGTAGATGCAAAGTAGCCTAAACCACTACAATTATCTGCCTCTTGCAGTTGTTGGAGTGCGCATGGGGCCGGTGGCTGCCGTGCATGGCTGACCCATGGCAGTGCTTGAAGCTGCTGGGGCTGGCGGGCTGGAGGTGGCACTGGGCTGGGTGAATGTCCCTGGACATGAGGGTGGATCTGTCCCTCCCATCCCTTGGGCAGCTGGTGGTGCCACCAAGGAATGTGATGTTGGAAAGTGATGTTTGGCATGGTCCAGGCCAGGGCAGTGGCTGCCAGCAGCAGCCAGGTGCAGGAGTTCCAGGGCTGCCTGGAAAAGCTCGCAGTGGTAGCTTTTCCATGCTGCTGCAACTTATGCTGAAACAGAGTTGCTGCCCCAGCCGTGCTAAGTCTCATGGCCAAAAGTCTGCCCATGGCAGGTGGCACTGGTTGCTTGTGCTGGGGTCATCAGGGTACCCTGCAGCTCATGGGGAGGTTTGGTTTCTCCACAGGTGGGACACAGATACAAAAATGAGACAAACTTCCCCCAGGAGAAATTGCATGTCTTGCTGCATTGGCAATATCTGTGGAGGTTGTGCCCAAGCTTGGTGCAAGTGGTGTTTTGGGGCACATGCCAGGTGAGCTCTGCCACTGCACAGCCCCTTATAGAGGCAGATATGATGCTGGTGCTCCTGTTCCCAGGCTGGCACTGGCCAAATGTGGTGCCTGCCAGCTCACCACAGAGCAGCCAGAGACTCGTTGCTTAACAACATGTTAGAGTGGAGTAGGAAGTGTTTTGTCAGTGTGAGATGGGAAGAGATCACCATTTTATCAACAGGCAGGGCAGTGTCTGTTTGCTCTGTGTCCGTGCAGATGTCCCTGCAGTACTGGGGACTTCGGTCACTTTGTGGTGCAGTGGCACTGGCATGGCTGTTCTTGGCTCTGCCCCTTATCAAGCGTCCGCAATTTCCAACAGCAGCATGTCCTGCTGTCAGCCATCCCACCTTCCCTTTCCTCCTTGCTGACGTTCTTCTGCCTCCCCAGGCCCCTCCTTGCCAGCAGCATTTCCAGCTTGGTGATTTCTGTGAATGTGGAAACGTTCCTCCCTTTTTATAGGGGAAAAATTCATTTTTAGCCAGCTCTGGGTTATTGTTCCTCTTCCTGTTCAGGGGCGGGTTTGCATGGCTCAGGGGCTCTGGCTGTGGCTGCTCCACTCGGACCTGCTGCCACTGTCCCCCGACTTGTCCCCCTGACTGTAGGACAGCACCAGCTCTTTTGGAGCCCTGTGGGCCACTGGGTATTCCTGAGGTTGAACAAAATGCTTTGGGGAGAGGGGGAAGCACAGCCCCCACTGGCTCAGCCCCTCTGCTTGTCACCAGCCAGTGCAGTGATCAGGTTCTGGCCTGGTCACCTGGCCTTGGGACACATCCAAGGCCTTGTGCCCCTGCCTGGCCCCTCTGCGTGGTGCCAAATCCCAGGTGCTTAGGGTGTGAGTGTGTCTAAATGCTGTTTACTGTACTGCTGCCTCCTCACTCAGAGGGGACCTTGAGCTCCCCAGACCCTCCTCTGTCACTCACTGTTGTATCACCCTCACACAGTCAGCTGCAGGTTGTTTCTCCAGCCCCCTCTAACCACAGGTGACCCAGGGGACACACTGATTTTAGTAGAGGTGCTGTTGCCACCATTTCATCCCTGCCTGCCCCTGGGGGAGCCAAGGCTGTATGGTGGGTGGAATCCCTGCATGGAGCCAGAGCCACCCTGAAACTGCTTTGGGAAGGTCCATGCATCTCCACCAGGACATGGGGCACACAGTGGCCCTGGCACGGGAGACTTGTCAGGGACTGTGGTGCTACGTGGGCTCTTGGGGCTGGGGCTGCTCCTGCCTGCTGGCGCTGCCAGGGTGTGGGCAGGAGCGGGATGAACGCAGCGGAGGCCTCTGCTCTGCGTCACCCTGGATTTCTGGGCAGCCCTTCCTCCCCCTGGCCTGTTTCCTCATTTGCGTGGCCAGTGATGGCTGCGATCCCGTGGTGCAGTGAGGGGAAATGAGAACCATGTGGAGAGGCCGTGCAGAGGCACATCCCTGGCGCTGGGCACCCCCAGGGCTGTTCCTAGAAAAGAGGGGGTGACTCAGAGCCAGGGTCCCCTGCCCCCGCATGCCCTTTCTCTCAGCAGCTGGAGACAGCGCTGGCAGCACCGGGAACTCCGGACACTCCTGCAGAGGCTGTGGGGACAGCGGGGGCCAGACCCCTCGTGGCACAGCGCCTGCCTGCCTCCCGCCGTGCCCTGACAGCGCGTCTCCCTCAGGTGCTGAACCATGGCGGTGTGGATCCAGGCCCAGCAGCTCCAGGGTGAAGCCCTGCGGCAGATGCAGGCGCTCTATGGGCAGCACTTCCCCATCGAGGTGCGGCACTACCTGTCGCAGTGGATCGAGAGCCAGGCGTGGTAGGTCAGGGTGTACTCTGCCCAGGGGTGCTGCGGCTGCCCTGGGGTACAGGTGGGTGCTCCCCGCCACCAGGCTGCCCTGACACGGCTCCGCTCCGCACGCAGGGACTCCATCGACCTTGACAACCCCCAGGAGAATGTGAAGGCGACACAGCTTCTGGAGGGGCTGATCCAGGAGCTGCAGAAGAAGGCAGACCACCAAGTGGGTGAGGACGGCTTCCTGCTGAAGATCAAGCTGGGGCACTACGCCACGCAGCTGCAGGCGAGTGGGGGGCTGTGGGCAGGGGTGCAAGGCCATGGGGGTCCCTGCCCTGTGCCTGGCTCAGGCCGTGCTCTCCCCACAGAACACTTATGACCGATGCCCCATGGAGCTGGTGCGCTGCATCCGGCACATCCTCTACCACGAGCAGCGGCTGGTGCGGGAGGCGAACAATGTGAGCGTGGGCTGTGAGGGGCGAGGAGAGGGTTCCTCAGGGGTGGAAGCTTTCCCAGGGGCTCTTGGCTCCATGATGGTGGGAGCAGCCCTGAGGCAGGGAATGGGGAGCGTCCCCTCCCTGTGCTGAGCACACCCTGTGCTCCGTGCAGAGCCCTTCCCCATCTGGCTCCCTGGTGGACGCCATGTCCCAGAAGCACCTGCAGATCAACCAAACCTTTGAGGAGCTGCGGCTCATCACTCAGGACTCAGAGAATGAGCTCAAAAAGCTGCAGCAGACACAGGAGTACTTCATCATCCAGTACCAGGAGAACATGCGACTCCAAGGTGGGTGGAGGCCCGAGGGGCACGGGGCTGGGGTGCTGGCAGGGCCAGCCCTAACACCGTGCCCTGCCCCCCCAGCCCAGTTCTCCCAGCTCTCCCAGCTGGGCCCACAGGAGCGCATGTCGAGGGAGACGACGCTGCAGCAGAAGAAGGCATCGCTGGAGGCCTGGCTGCATCGTGAAGCCCAGACACTACAGCAGTACCGCGTGGTGAGTGATGCCGCCTGGTTCCCCGTGATGTCCCCACGATGCCCTGTGACACTGTCCCTGCACCCCTGATGTTGTCCCACCTCGCAGGACCTGGCTGAGAAGCACCAGAAGACGCTGCAGCTGCTGCGCAAGCAGCAAACAACCATCCTGGATGATGAGCTGATCCAGTGGAAGCGTCGGCAGCAGCTGGCGGGGAATGGGGGCCCACCCGAAGGCACCTTGGACGTGCTGCAGACCTGGTGAGTGCCTGGTCGGGTGGGATGGGACGGGGTGCTGAGCCCAGTGGGTGCTGAGCCCTGCTCCCCCCAGGTGTGAGAAGCTGGCAGAGATCATCTGGCAGAACCGACAGCAGATCCGCCGTGCCGAGCACCTGTGCCAGCAGCTGCCAATCCCAGGCCCGGTGGAGGAGATGCTGTCAGAGCTGAACGGAACCATCACCGACATCATCTCTGCCCTGGTCACCAGGTACAAGTTGGGCCCAGCTGGGTGGGGGCCAGGTTGGTCCTGTCCCCTTCCCAGCCTCCCTGATCCCTCTGCTTTCCCCCAGCACCTTCATCATCGAGAAGCAGCCTCCACAAGTGCTGAAGACACAGACCAAGTTTGCAGCCACTGTGCGGCTCCTGGTGGGGGGGAAGCTGAATGTGCACATGAACCCCCCTCAAGTGAAGGCCACCATCATCAGCGAGCAGCAAGCCAAGGCCCTGCTGAAGAATGAGAGCACCCGCAAGTAATGCCAGGGGCTGGGGGGTGTGTCAAGGCAATGGGGAGCAGGGTGTGGGGCAGGGGGAAGGGCTGCATCTTGCACAGCTCCCAGTCCTGGTGTGCCCTGACTCGGTGTGCATTCCTGCGGCAGCGAGAGCAGCGGGGAGATCCTCAACAACTGCTGTGTGATGGAGTATCACCAGGCCACTGGCACGCTCAGCGCCCACTTCCGCAACATGGTGAGTGCCCCTGGCTCCCCATCCTGTCCCCTCGTGTCCCTCTGTGTTCCCCCCGCTGTCCCCCTCTATTCCTCCATGCTCACCCCTGGTGTCCCTGCAGTCCTTGAAGCGGATCAAGCGCTCGGATCGCCGTGGGGCTGAGTCAGTGACAGAGGAGAAGTTCACCATCCTCTTCGAGTCACAGTTCAGTGTCGGTGGGAATGAGCTGGTCTTCCAGGTGAAGGTAAAGCCTCTATGTCCTTTCTGCAGGCCCTAGGCAAGCCGTGGGCACTGTGGGCACTGTGCCCACAGGAGTGGGGCTGGGCTGGGGCCACATGGGTGCCCATGGGTGATGCTCCCTTGGTGCCCCACAGCCCATTCCAGTCTCCTTCCTCTCGGCAGACGCTGTCCCTGCCTGTGGTGGTGATTGTGCATGGGAGCCAGGACAACAATGCCACGGCCACCGTGCTTTGGGACAACGCCTTTGCTGAGCCCGTGAGTGCCAGTGCCGTGGGGGCAGGACAGGCCCCATCTGCCCGGTGTGGGAGTAGGGCTCAGCCTCCCGGTGGGACATGCCTGGAGGCACCAGGCAGAGCTGGTGCTGACCACGCTCTCTGCCCCCAGGGCCGCGTGCCCTTCGCTGTGCCCGACAAGGTGCAGTGGCCACAGCTCTGTGAGGCGCTCAACATGAAGTTCAAGGCAGAGGTGCAGAGCAGCCGTGGGCTGACCAAGGAGAACCTGGTGTTCCTGGCACAAAAGCTCTTCAACAGCACCAGCTCCCACCTGGAGGACTACAGCAGCACCACAGTGTCCTGGTCCCAGTTTAACCGGGTAAGTGGCCTGGGCTCTGTCCAGAGCCCCCCATGCTCGTGCTTGTGGAGCTGGATGGGGTGTACCCACCTGGGGGTCCCTGAGTCTCTGCTGCTGCACCCAATGTCTGTGCTGTGTCACAGAGGCTCAGAGCCTGGTGACAGGAGTGCTCATTATCTGCGGATTTCAACAGGAAAACCTGCCTGGGAGGAATTACACCTTCTGGCAGTGGTTTGACGGGGTCATGGAGGTGCTGAAGAAGCATTTGAAGCCGCACTGGAATGACGGGTAAGAGCCGCCCTGTCCTGTGCAGCCTGGCCCGAGCCCCAAGCCCTGACGCCCTACTCTGCCTAGGGCCATCCTGGGCTTCGTCAACAAGCAGCAGGCCCACGACCTGCTCATCAACAAGCCTGACGGGACCTTCCTCCTGCGCTTCAGCGACTCGGAGATCGGTGGCATCACCATTGCCTGGAAGTTTGACTCCTGTGAGTGTGTGCCAGGCGCCGGCATCCCTGGGCCGAGTGACCCCAGCCAGGCCACCTCATGCCCTTGGTAGTGGCACTGCCACGGCAGGCATGCTGGAGTTATCCTCAGGAAAGAGGCGAGCACCAGAGCCCCCAGAATGTCTTGGCTGCCCCATGGGGAGTGGTGCTGCCCTCGCTCACTGCAGTGGGGAGGAGGGACCAGGCTGAACTCTCTCACCCAGCCCTGGGGAATGATGTGGACTGTACAAAATGCAGTTACTCAGTGGTGCTCCCCAGGGGTTGTATCCTGACCCCATGCAGGAGTCTGTTGCTATTCACAAGAGCATCTTTTGGAGGGCCACATGACTGAGAAGCACCATGGAGCCCCGTGGTTGGGGAACCTGCCCCCGACGTGTCAGGATGAGGCCAGACTTGTCTTGGCGTCACTGTACCTCCTACTTTATCCCATTTTCTGGAGATCTGTGCTTTATCCTCAGCTGTTGCTGGGGGAGGGATGCAGTGTGGGACATGCTGTTGGCTGCTTGATGTGACCTCGCGGCCCACGTGGAGAGCACAGCCAGGAGCTGCTACAAACTCTGGGAGTCACCATGATTCTCACGCTTGTCTTGCAGCTGAGAGGATGTTCTGGAACCTGATGCCTTTCACCACCAGGGACTTCTCCATCCGCTCCTTGGCTGACCGCCTCGGGGATCTCAGTTACCTCATATACGTGTTCCCCGACCGGCCCAAGGACGAGGTGTTCTCCAAGTACTACACGCCGGTTCTCTGTGAGTCCACGCCAGGTAGCGCTGTCCCTTCACCCCACACATGTCCCCTCTTGTGCATCCAGCCAGGATGGAGCTGGTGTTCTCAGCAACCCTCACCCCGGGGCCACACTGGCCCCACAGGGGTTCTGCATCTGGCCACGTGTGAGCCCCCAGCACTGCCCGGGGTCGTGGCATGTGCTGGTATTTGGGGCCTCAGTGCTGCTCCTTCTTTCTAGCTAAAGCTGTGGATGGATACGTGAAGCCACAGATCAAGCAAGTGGTGCCAGAGTAAGTGTGACCCCGAAGGGAGATCCTGGGCAGTGGTTGCCATGGGTTCCCAGCATTGAATTGGCTGGATTGGGTGCCCAGGGCACTGAGGAGCTCAGGTCCACCACCAATGGCCACGTTGGTGCTGAGCCTTGTGGGACATCTTGGTGACTTCACCCTTGGGGCACCCAGTGCTCATGAGACCCATGCCCACAGGTTTGTCAATGCATCGGGAGATTCTGCCTCTGGAGGGGCCACCTACATGGACCAGGCACCCTCGCCTGCCGTCTGCTCCCAGCCTCATTACAACATGTACACCCAGAAGTGAGTATCATACCCCTATCCCTGTACTGCTGCAGCTGGGCCTCCCCTCACCGCCTGCCTCCCACAGCCCCGACCCTGTGCTGGACCCCGAGGGTGATTTTGACCTGGAAGACACGATGGATGTGGCAAGGCACGTTGAGGAGCTGCTGCGGCGCCCCGTGGACAGTCAGTGGATCCCCCACGCCCAGTCGTGACAGGCAGGTGCCTGGTCCTTGCCCCTGGCCCCGGCGCTGCGGGGACTGTGCTGTGTTCGTGTCTCTGTGCCAGGGGACAGCGGGTGGGCCCTGCCCCCAGGATTTGCTCTGTGCTGCCCCGAAACACAGGCTGGCGTCCAGCTCTTTGGTGTTTATGCCCTTGTATAAACGGCAGCGGATTTGTCGCATGGTTTTCCTGTATGTTCCTTTTAAGAGGCCCAGCTTCGGCTTTCCGCTTCTGCCAGCACTGGCCCCGCAGCCCCTCGCTCCCCGTGGGGCTGCCGGGGCGGGGGCCGCCAGCCCGGCCTCAGGTTCGCTTTCGCAGTCGTCACTAAGAATGTACATGTCGCCTTCTTGTCCTCCCCCGCAGCTCTGTTCCCAGGGGTGCGTGAGGGCAGAGGGCAGAGGAGGGGTCCTGCCAGGGCTCCCCTAGCCCGTGCTGGTGCTCTGCTCCACAGTGGCAGGGTCCCTGCACCTCATCCTCTCCTCTGCCCCCAAGGATGTAGGAGCCCCTCCGGCCCCCTGCCTCGGTGTCCCCTCTGGAGCCGGTGCAGCACGAGGGTGGCAGGGTGTGAGGGCACCTGGCGAGGGCAGGGGGTGGGCAGGGGTTTGGGGGAAACGGAGCCCTCTGCCCGCTGCTTCTCCCCTCGCCTGGGCGGGAAACTCTGGGGTCCTGGCCATGTTATTTTTCTATCACAGAGTAAATAAAGCACGGAATATTTTTGTAACACAAAAGCTCTGGGTGCCACGTGTGTCTTGGGACAGAGGTGGGTCCCTCTGAGGAGCTCATCTGGAGTGCACCAGGTGAATGCTGGGGCTGGGCCCGGTGTTCAGGTTCCTATCCCCGAGGGCAGGGTCGCCTGTGCCTCCGTTGGCACAAGCTGGGTGGATCCGCGGGGCTCTGTCCGGTTAAGAGGGCTGCTCTAAGGAGCGGAGTCTGGGCTGGGCTGGGTCTGGTTTTTTGGGCAAAAAACAAGGTAAACCGGATCAATTGCCCTGTTTTTCCAAAGAAGAAGCTCGCTCTTGATGGAGGGGTAGAGGGCGCTGGTACTCGGGGTTCAGCTGCGGTTGAATTCCTCGCCGAGCGGGGGGCCTGGGGTGTGCTGTGTAAAGGTGAAAATGAAAATAAAAGTGAAGCGGGGAGGGGGGCGGCGCCGGGCGCGATAAATCTCCGTCATTTCTGCCGGAGGCGGAATAGCCGGTGGGCGAGGGGTGTCCGGGGCCGGGTCCCTGCCCTGGGGCGGTGTCCGCATTCCGCGATGCTGCCGGCGGTGGCGGTCGCGGCGGTGGTGGCCGTGGCCGTGGCCGTGGCCGTGGCCATCCCCGCGCTACGGCACCGCCTTGTCCGTTCCGCGCTGCGCCGCGCCGGGGGCCGGTACCGGCGGCGGCTGGAGGCTCTGGGCAGCGACGTGCGGCTGAGCCAGGAGCGGCGGCTGCGGCGGCTGCTGGGCACCGGCACCGGCACCGGGACGGCCGGCGGTGAGCGCGGGGCTGCGGGAAGCGCGGCGGGAAGGGGTCGGTCCCATGGTTTCCCTTCTCAGCTTGTGCCTCTCCCGGCAGGCTCGGAAGAGTTCCAGCAGCGGCATCCCCTGGGGCAGCCCTGTCGGGACGAAGCGCCGGGGTTTCCGCTTCGCCCGCTGCGGCTCTGGGCTCTGCTCCCCGGCTGCTGGGACGCCGACCCCCGGCTGCAGGTACGGCGAGCGGCGGGCGGGGTGGGCGCGGATCCCCGCAGGGTCCGCCCTGCTGACCCGACCCTCCCCGCAGGGATCCCTGCTCTACCTGGATGCCCTCGGCGCCGCTTTTCCGCGGGCGCTGGTCCGCCGGGGCACGGCCGTGCTGCACTGGAGCCCCGGCCGTGCCTGCGCCCCGGCGGCGTGGCCGCTGCCCTCGCTGTACTGCAGCCCGGCCGCAGCGGCTCTGCTGCCCTCGCGGGCCGCTGCGCTGCGGCTGCAGCTGCTCTTCGCCCTGCGGCAGCGAGCGCTGCGTGTGCTGGAGGCCGGGCTGGCAGCCGAGCTGCACGACGCGCTGCTGGCCCTGCGCGCTGAATGGCCCCGGCTGGCGCAGGAGCTGGAGCTGGGCAGGCTGAGCCCCCAGCCCGGGCTGCCCGAGGGGGTGCGGGACCGGCTGCAGGCATTGCTGAGCCCTGGTGCTGCCCGGGCAGCCGAGCTCCGTGCCGAGTGCGCCCGCGGCTTCGAGGGCATCGTGTTGCGTCTGTGGCCGCAGCTGGAGGTGGTGGTGGTGAGGACCATGCATGGCACGGAGCGGCTCTACTGCGACTCCCTCCGCCAGGCTGACTGCCAAGGGCTGCCCTTCTACTGCCCCTTCTACCAGGCAGCAGGGGGTGAGTGTCCTCCATGCTGGCGTGTCCCCATGGTCTGCCCTGGGTGCCCACAGGGAACTGCTGCCATATGGCAGCACAGATCTCCCTGACCCAGCAGATGCTAGTGCATCACTGTGCTGCATTCCCTTCCTGCGACCTGAAAACAGCTCAGTCCTGGCACCAGCAAAATTCTGCCCCTTGGAGAGGGGTGAGGCTTCTGTGGGCAAGGATGGGGGGATCTGGGGAGCTCACATTGGCACTGGTGCTGCCTCTGCCCAGCCCTGCTTGGTGTGAACCTGTGGCCAGCGGAGCCAGCGCCCCGATTCCTGCTGTGCCCTGACTGGGCTTTCTGCGAGTTCCTGCCCTGCCTGGCCAGCAAGGAGCCACGGGCGGTGCTGCTGGATGAGCTCTGGGAGGGCTGCGAGTACGGGCTGGTTGTGACAGCCCAGCCAGGAGAATACAGGTGCCTCCTCCCTGCTACGTGGTCCTGGGGGGCTGCCTGCCCCAGCCCCATGCACCCATCTCCCCCTCACACTCTCCCTGCCTGTGCAGGTGCCGTACTGGGGAGGTGCTGAAGGTGACCGGCTTCCACAAGCAATGTCCCCTGGTGGAACCTGTGCGCAGGTGGGGACACCCCAATGCCTGTCCCTCACCTTAGGGAGCTGGGCCCATTTACAGGCAGGGTCTTACCAGGAGGGTGCCAGAGACCACCCTGTGTCCCTGCACCGCAGGGAGAGCCAGACACTGAGCGTGCGAGGTGAGAGCATCCCTGAGGAGCAGTTCTGCCAGAGCCTGTGCCGCACCCTGAGGATGTGGCCGGGTGCTCACCTGATTGACTACGTCTGTGTGGAGAGCAGCCTGCTGGGTGAGTTCCCCTGAGCTGTCCGAGTGCCCCTAAAAGTGTAGCTGGCACTGCATGGGGGTCTGCAGCCCTCCTGTGCTGCAGCACAGGAAGCTGGCAGCTTTAACATACTCATGGTACTGCTTCAGGTGACTCTTCAGGGCCCTGTGCCCCCCACTACGAGGTGTTCATGGAGCTGCAGGGCCTGCGGGACCTGTCGGAGGGGCAGCGCTATAAGGTGAGCAGGACCTGCTCTGGGTCTGTGTGGGGTGGCTGAAGGACACTGGTATGGCAGTGTGGGACCAGCACAGGCAGCACCCTCTCTTTGCAGCTGGACCAGTGTCTCCAGGAGGATTTCCCCATCTACAAATCCTTCCGCTTCAAGGGCAGCATTGGGCCCCTGCGCCTGCACCTGGTGAGGCCCAGGACCTTCACCCAGCTGCGGGAAGCACTGGGCTCCCCCATGCCCATGCCCAGGGTCCTGCGTGAAGAGCAGCTGCTGCAGCTCATCCAGGGATCAGTCATCTCCTAGGGCAGCCTAGGGGCACCACAGCCCTTCCACCCTGGGGTTCACTTGGCATGCACCCTCTGGGCAGGGGCCGTGTCCCTGGGGTGGGAGGGTGTGGGGGCAAGGGTGCCCAGCCCAGAGGGTTTGGCTGAGTGGAGCAAATGGAGACTGAGCTTGACCGTGATCCGTGGCAGCAGCAGGCACCCGTGAGCACCACTCAGTGCTGCTGTGGAGATGGAGCAGGAGCTTGGGAGCCTCACGGGGCAGTGGGATCCTGCAGCTGCAGGACACCCTCACTCAGTGCCTTGGCAGCACCTGCAGCCACAGAGGGGTGGGTGCCTGTGCCTTTCCCATTGTGCATCACAGCCCATGGATGATGCAGAGGGCTCAGTGGAAACTTGCAGGAGCAGGAGGAGCAGAAGAGCTGTGGCTCATCACTGAGCACTGGGTTCCTGTGGCATTTTGTCCCCTGTCAGGGACACTCCGGGCAGGGCTCAGGTGGCTGGTGGTGGTGGGTGTCACAGAGCAGCCCCAGGTGGGCTTCACTGCACGCCCACTGGTTTAAGAATAAGCTCTGGTGAGGGCTGCTTTTAATGTTTTAAAAACCAAATGCAAAATAAAGGATTATATTTTAAAAATAAATAAAGGACCACACTCTGGGATTGATTTTTTAGAGTATTATTTTTAATCTTCATTAAAGAGATTGCTCAGGCAATCTGTTCTGGGGGCTGAGGAGTTGCTGCTGTTCTCAGGGGTCTTGGGGAAGGGGCAGCCATGAATATTTAACCAGCTGAGCACTCTGGGGGCACCAGGCTCTTTGTGCCTTTGAGGCACATCGGGAGGGACTGGTCATTTCCCCTCCTGCTCGTTAAGGGTTATTTCAAGGGCTGGCGAGGGCAGGTGGGGCACCTGCTGTGCTGCAGCTGCTGCTGGTGGGCAGCGGGCCGTGGGCAGGAGATGATGTCTTGAACAAGACTCACACAAAGCAAAGCATCCCCCGGCACAGCCGAGACCCTCACCAGGGATGAACCTGGCTGAGGCCTGTGCTCCCATCCCTGCTGGAAAAACCTGGAGCAAAATTTCTGCTCCAGGTCGGGGAGAAGCTTTGCCTTGGGCTGGGAGCACCCTGAAACAAAAGCCTTGAGGCACCTGCGTGGCAGAGCCGTGCGGGGCCGGGGCTGCGCTGGGCGGCTCTGCTTGCACGGCCATGCCTGGGTACCACCCCGGTGGGAGGGGAGGTTGGTGGGGTGGAACCCGCTGGGCAGGGCCAGGCTGCTGAGTGCCCGGCTGGCTTTGGATGCCAGGCTGCAGGGTGCAAGGTCGATTTGAGTGCCCGGCTGCAGGGTGCAGCTTGTTTTGGGTGCCGGCTCATTTGTGCTGCTGATACCAAAGCTAGAAGGTGTGGGTGCCCGGCTGAAGGGTGCCAGGCTGGGTTTGCGTGCCCGGCTGCAGGCTGCGGGCTCGGCCGGGGTCCCACCGGGATGGGGCGGCTGCCGGGCCCGGGCGCCGCAGTGCTGGGGCGGAGGCCGGGGATGCCCCGGCGGCGGATGGTGCCGGTGCCCGGTGCCCGTCCGCGCGCCCCGCCGCTGCAGCCCGGGGCGAGGGGGCCGCGCCGTCCCCATCCCCATCCCCATCCCCGCCACGTCCCCGCCCCCGGCCCGGCCCGTCCCCTCCTCCCGGCCGCGCCGCCTCCCGCCCGCTCCGCCACTGAGCCCGCAGCGGCGGCGGCGGCGGGCGCAGGCTCCGGGCGCCCCGGGGCCCCGCGGCGGCCGCTGCCCTGAGGCCGCGGGGGATGGCGGAGGGGCCCCGGGGCGCCCCGCCGCCGGGCTCGCCCCGCCCCGCCGCGCCGCTGCCCAACGGGCCCCGCGGCGGCGGCGGCGGCAGCCCCGGCTCGGGCTCAGGCAGCAGCAGCCGCGAGGACTCGGCGGAGCGGAGCCCCGCGCCCGCCGCGCCCCGGGCCAGCATCATGAAGGTGAGAGCCCCGCACAGCGCACCGGGCCGGCACCTGCGCAGCGCTGGGGTGCCGAGCCGTGTCCCCGCGCCGAGCCCCGCGTCCCCCCGCACCGCTTCTGTGCGCCTCTCCTCGCTCCCCCGTGCCCGTGCAGCGGCTCCGAGGAGCTGCAGAGCAGCCGCATCCCCGGGTGGCCGAGGGTCGCCACCTGCCCGCGGTGCTGGCCACACCGGGACTGACACGGCTCCCGCGCCCCGCCTGGACCCACGGTCCCCAGGGGCACAATCTGGCCCGGCCCGGCTCTGTGGAGTGTCCGTGGGTCGCCCTGTCAAGTGCCATGGCCACGCTGCAGCATCACCCGCTCCTGCTCAGGACACCCGTGGGTTCCCGTGAGGAGATGTCCGCTCCCGCCCCTCGAGCAGCTTCTGCTCTCCCGTGCTCTCTCCTGACAAGCTCTGAGCTCGGGCCTGGCCTGAGCCGCTTGCGCTCTGCTCCCAGCACCTGGTGTCGGTTCTGTCGGGCCGCGGTGGGACCGGAGTCCAGGGAGGGTCTCGGGGATCTCCCACCTGGGTGGGCAGCGGATCACACGTGTGTTTTCCTAAATGAACGCCCCTGATTGTGCTGATGCCGGCGGTACTCACTGACACAATAGGTCACGTCCGCCCGGGACTCGCCTCCCTGCTCCCGGCAGCCTATTTTGAGCTGGGATTGCTCCGGTGCTATTAATACCCCGTGAGGGGGCTGTTTCCGTGGTGCCCCAGCCCCACTCTTCCGTCCCCGGGATCCAGTTTTCCTGACAGCGGTGTCAGGAGCCCGAGTTCTGCCCGCCCGGGCTCTGGCTGCAAACTGTTGCGGGGGCGGCCGGGCTGTGCCCACGCGGGGACGGCACGGAGCCCTGCCGGTGCTCCCGTGCAGCCAGGGGCTGCTGCCAGTGCGCCGTCCGTGCCTGGTTTCCTTGGGGACCTTGCCAGGGTCTTCTGCTCCTCCCGGGAGGGACCAGCATCCTTCCTTGCCCAGGGACCATCCGTGGGCACCGCGGGCTGGGGGTGGTGAACATCTCGCTTGCTCCTGGGCCGGCCACATCCCTGTCACCACCTGCGTCACCACGGGATTTGGCCTCACGTGAAGGTCGCCCAGGGCCAGCGCTGGCGGGGGAGGGTGCTGGTCCAGGGGGAGGTCAGACCCAAGCAGTGTCCCCAGCGTGCTGCTCTGTTGTGATCTCCGAGTCCATCCGGGGTCTGAGAAGCAGTGGAGGTACATGTGGAAAGAGCTGCTGGCTCTGTTATTTTTTGGGATTTCCAGAAAAGGCTGGAGGAGTGATCTGAAAATGCGACTGACTGGCTGGTGGAGACAGGGGGCCCTGGGGCAGTGGGGTCCAGAGCTGTCCCTTGCACTGTCCCTGTGCCCTGGCTGGAGGGCCTGCTCCCTTCTTTCTTCTCAGATTGAAAGCAGAGGGGGCTGGTGGTCCTGTGAGCTGGGACGATGCTGGAGAGGGTATGGGATCTGTTCTTCCCTGCCACAGGAGGTGTCCCCTGAGCCCCCTTCCCATCGTGTGCCAGCCCCAGGAGCTGTGTGGTGCCTCTGCCGGGATCTGACTCCATGGCCCCTCGCTGGGGAGTGGCAGCTGGTGCCGCGGGGAGTGGATGTGTCAGTCGCTCTCTTCTTGGCAGTGAACAAACGACGGTAGAAAAGCCCTGACTGCGCCTGGTCTCCCACTGCCTCAGCTCCGGGGCTGCTGCCTGCCTGCACCCCTGCCCATGCTGCCCAGACTGGGATAGGGGTAGTGGGGAGACCTGGGACTTGGGGAATTCAGCTGCAGATGAATCACATCATGGCCAGACGGGGGATAAAGGAGAGGGAGGAACGACTGGTGGGCCCTTCTCCATCCCGTGCTTTGAGAGTCGGTTCTGTGGCCGGTAGGTAACACGGTGGCCATCACGTGGAGGCTGAGATTAGGGCATCAGCACTCACTAGGGCACTAATGCAGAGATAATTGGCTGAAGAGGTGCTTAGCACATGCTGCAGAGCTGGGCAGGACAGGCAGCTGGGCTTGGAACGTGCCCTCCATGCAAGCCCACGCTCACCACTGGCATCGTGGTCATGGTCTGTGCTTTGCTCTCTGGAGCTCTGCCTACTCCCTGCCAGCTCGGTGGCAGGGTGAGCAGGATCCCTGCTCCAGCCAGAGCTCTGCCCTCTGTCTGGGGGTGTTCCGTGCTGTCATGGCCATGGGCGCCGTGTCCTCCCGGCTCCACTGCTGCCTTACTCATCACCTGCCTGCACTGCTCCTCTGTGTTGAGTTACCTCTGCACCTCGCCCATCACTTGGTGGGCTGGAACAGCCTGTGAGGGGCTGCCAGGGGGCAGAGACTCTTCCCTGCCTGGTGCCCAGGCCACCCTGAGGAGCGCAGGGCAGCCGCAGACGGGAAACTCCTCGCATCCCCTGCTCGCTGCTTGCCCGTGCAGAGGGAGAAGCACAACCTGTGTGCTGCTCTTGGGTCTGTGCCACACATCTGCACCCCGAAGTGCTGCAGCGGGCACCACATCCCCTGGGCGAGCCTGGCAGGGTGGGGGTCTGCAGGTTTTCGCCCCGAGCCGGGGTGCTCGGAGGACCGGTGGGGTGTGTCTGGCTGCCGGCAGCGGGCACAGATGGAAGCAGGTCCGTGGCGCTGGGTGCACGCAGGCCCCCCGCCCGTGTTTCCTTTCCGGATGGATTTCCTGTTTTCAGCTGTGGGGCCCGGTGCGGAGCCGCGCGGGTGGGTGCGCCGGGCGGGGAGCGGGTCCGCGGAGAGGCGGGGGTCCCGCGGGGGTCCCGCGGGGCGGGAGGGGCGGCGCGGCCCCCGGTGCCCATCGGGGGCTGGGGCTGCCTGTCAGTGGGGCGCTCAGATTGCAGCGTGCAGGAAGCATCCGGCGTCGATTCCTTCCCCGCAGGGCTGGCCGATGGCGTGACCTGCCGCTGAGCGCCTGCCGACCCGGCATGGCTGGCACCGAGTCTTGGAGCTCGGCCAGCTCCCTGGAGCAATCTGGCAGCGAGAGGATGCGAACAGCCACCACATCCGAGCTCCAGGATAGTAGGACATGCCTGGCTCTAACAAGGGGCTGAGGGCTGATGCTGGTTCCTCCTTCCCTGGGCCTTTGTGGCCTGGGCATCCTTGGAGGATTCCCCATTCCCTGAGGAAACCGTACATCCTTGGCTGTGGCTGCCTGACCCCGTGGGGCAGATCCCGACCCTCCAGGATCAGGCACGGGATGTGCTTGCCCAGGTGCAGCGGGAGCTGTGGAAGCTGTCGGGGCACTGGAGGGGAGCAACCCCTCACCTCCACCCTGGGCAGCTGAGCAGGACCTGCCTCTGGCAGAGACACCACCAGATTAGAAGTGACTCACCATAATCTTGAAGAAGTGGATTAAATCTCCTCCTACTGTGCTACTTAATGAAATCCATCCCATAATACACTCCTAGCCCTGCTGTTTTTTCCCCTTATCCCCTGCCCCTGCCAGCTCCATGGCAGCTCAGTCCCCCCTCCCTGTAGTGAGGCAGGGCAGAGTGTGGGCATGAGGTGCTGGCAGCGAACAGCCCATGCCAGAGCCGTGACCCTGCGCTCTGCAGGACACAGCCGTGGCCGTGGTTGTCCCCAGCATGTGGCACTGGCTGGGGCTGTCCTGCCCCACTCCTTGCAGAAGAGTGGAGGGTCTCTCTTGGGCTCCCTAGGAGCAGCTCT